GGCTTAGCCCTCTGGAGCAGTGTGTCACTGTTGGTCTGTAGGGTATAAGCAGAGTGGCCTGAAGTATTTGGAGCTGCCCTCTGAGAAGTAAACGAGTAAAGCGCACATCCCACTGTGAGATGATCCGCCTGGCCCGCCGAAATCAAACAGACGACATCTGGAGATGCCCCAACAGCTTGCCGTCTGGGTGGCCCACCTGGAACAGGGCTGTGGCTTAGCCAGGGGAAGCCCGCTAACCTCCGGTGTGCCCCGTCGGGAGAAGGACAATGGGACCAGCACTGTGAACAACAATGTGGCTTCTGAACCTCTGGCCTCCGAGTTGGGATGGTTACTCATTAAAATGCAGTTCTGGGCCTTGCTCCAGATCTCCCGAGTTAGCCAGTAGTCAGGGCCTGGTAGTCTGTGTTTGATTGGCCCTCCCCGATGAGTCCTCTGCACACTCAAGGTGGGAGGGCACCCCAGGGCAGGGGTGAGCACGGGTCCATCATTGGGACAAGGGCACTAGGGTCAGGGTCACCAGGTAAGCACCCTCGCCACACTGAGGTCCCTCCTCTCTGAGCCTAAGGGCCCCCCAGACGCCACCTGCCTTAGGAGACGAGACTGCCAGGCCAGCATGGGTGGTGAGGGATGGGCATGAGGAATGGTCTCAGTGACAATGGCTCCTTAAGCCCTCTCTTTCCCTCCTCAGTTTCTTGTCTTCACCAGCACCCTCACGCCAATCAGACCACCCTGGGCAGTGAGACCACACCAGGACCTAGGGCCCTTGTGGGGGTCACCAGCTGCCCATCTCTCTGGGGAAGTGTCTATAGGACCAAAGGCCTGCTTCTCCACTGGGAGCAGCACACACCAGGTAGAAGGCCCAGCACCTAGGTCTGAGATAACAAAATAGCGGGAGATCCACAAGCAAAGGCTGCCTGATAGGGAAGGAGCCTGTGACTCCCTGGGGCTGACTAGACCCACACGATGACCCAGGCATGAAGACCACAGTCCCCTCCCGTTTCCGTCCTCTGGTGCCCAAGGCTGCCCCATTTAGAGCAGGATGACTCAGCTCCCACCGCCACCCGCCACCTTCCCACCACCCGCCACCTTCCCACCACATTCACCTTGCTTCTCCCGGATTGATTTCTGAAAATTTAGTGCCTCCTTGGTCAGGTCCATCTCCCGCTTGATGGCATTGATGCGCTGCGTGGTCTCGCTGGCCCTTTTCCTCCGCTCATTCAGGATGGATTTGTTCTCTTTGAAGATGCGGTTGATCTCACTGCCCCGCTCGTTCTTAAAGTCCTCGAAGGCCACAGGTTTGGGGGGTGGGGTACTGGGCCTGAAGACAGAAGGGGAGGGAAAGGGGAGCCAGAGCTACCAGGTACTTTGCCCCTCTTCCTGGGGTGGTTGGTGAGGGTCTTCTGTGGGCAGGCGACCAGAAGTCCTAGGGACTTTGTGCAGGAACCACGCCCCCAGGTCTGTCTCTGACTCCACCCGCCCCCCAGCAAGGGCACGTGACCATCGCAGCAAGTAAGGACAGCGAGGAAAAGTGTAAAAAACAGAAAACAAAGCAAAAAACCACTCACTACCTATTGGCAACTACGCTTTGATGTATCTCCTTCAGGGATTTCTTTGATACATTATTTAATGTTTGACGTCATGCAGCAGATATCATTTTACATCTTAAGTTTGTCACAGAGGCATTCCTTCATGCTGTGAGGATGTGAGGTGAAGTGTTGGGGCAGGGGATGTGGACTGTCTGCAGCTTCCTTTGAAATGCATCAGGGGGCGCTGGGGTGGCTCGGGTCGTTGAATGGGGCCTGTGATTGAGAGCCCCCGCCCCTCAGGCTCGGAGTCTGATTCTCCCTCTCCCTCTGCCCCTCCCCTCTGCTTGTGTGCTCTCTCTTGTGTGTTCTCTCTCAGATAAATAAATAAAAATCTTAAAAATAAATAAATTTTTTAAAAGTTAAAAAAATGCATTAATAAATAAAATACTAAAAAAGGGGGGGTGGTGCGTGGGTGGCTCAGTGGGTTAAAAGCCTCTGCCTTCGGCTTGGGTCATGATCTCAGGGTCCTGGGATCGAGCCCCACAACGGGCTCTCTGCTCCACATAGCCTGCTTCTCTTCCTCTCTCTCTGCCTGCCTCTCTGCCTACTTGTGATCTCTGTCTGTCAAATAAATAAAATATTTTTTAAAAAGTTTAAAAAATGCATTGAAAAAATAAGAGGGATGGAGAGAAAGACGGATGTGTGATGAAGTAAGTAACGTGTTCAATGCAGAACCAAGAAGGTGTCGGCTGTACGTACTTTCAACTTCTCTGAGTTCTTGGAAATGTTCATCTGCTAAGGAAAGAATTCTTCACGCACATCCTTGTACATCCCAAGGGCAGAGACAATCATTCACTTAGTACCTTTTCAGTAACATTAGCTAGTGAAGGTGTTTCCAAAACTCGTTTTTGGCTTTTTAAATGAATGATGCCATGAACACCTGTTCGCATAAATTTCTGTCCACAGCTTCAATCATTTCCTCAGGCTCCACTGCTGAACACTCGATTACTGGCTCACCAGGGAGAGGAACCGTGTAGCTAGAGGAAGGGGTCTCATACCTTGAAAAGATGGGGCCTTTTAATTAGTTATTTTTAAGTTAGTTATTTTTTTTAATATAAATACATTAGTTTTTTTTTTTAATGTAAACATAATTCTTTAAATGACTACTCTCTGAAGAGCCTAAAATGATTCCACATATAACTGTGTATCTTGGAGGGCTCCTAAGGCGGGACTGGTTCGCGTATGGCTCAGCCATCATATTGCTTCTTTCCGGACTGTGCTCCTGGCCTTTGCCTATTACCCCCTCTTCTACTTCTCATTTATCTGTAGGCACTCTTGACATGACCACACTCGGGTTTTGAGTGGTCTGGTGAACTGGCCTGAGGTGCTTACCTGGGTGGGCGCCACTCCTCCTTTGGGGAGTCTAAGGGAAGGGGCTCAGTGCTGGAGGTCTCTCGGTCCCGCAGGGGCAAGTCTTTGACATCTCCCTCCTTGGACGATGGGGTCGCCTGGGTCTTGGAAATGGAGACCTCCAAATCCTTGCCACTCACAGGGCTGCCGGCACCTTCCTTTCTTCCTGAGGAGCTGGAAGGAGAAGGCAGGGAGGCCCCAGGGCTCAGTCAGAGGCAGTAAGGTATCTCTGGTACTTAGGGGAGTGACATTTCCAAACCCACAGAGAGAAAAAGCCCCATCCCATGCAGTCCTAGCTGGATCATAAACCTAGGCTGAAGGGCAAAGGGTATGACCCTAAGCCACACCAATGGGCATTCTTCTCCCCCTCATCAGAATGAGGAGCCCTCCCTTAGCAGTCCCTGGCAGGAGACACCTGGGGAAACTAGGCAGTCTCCAGGTCTGAAAGCGGCTAGGCCTGTGAGGAGGGCCACAGGCTCCCTAGAGCATCCGGGCTGCGGAGGTCTTCATCACACAGCCATCCCGGGAAGGCAGAGCCACCACCCCGCATAGGTCTGTCTGGGGACCAAAGATAAAGCAAGACATGTCTGCCCTGCTGCCCTGATCAATCCACAACCCACTCTCCCACCTCCACGAATGCCCACAGCCACTCCCAGAAAAGTAGCTGCCCTCTCTCTCCAAGTGATGGCACCCAGGGTCCTCCTCCTCCTCAGAGAGGCGCATGTGAGCAGGCCTGAGCCGTCAGGAGGAGACCAAGGGCCTCGGCAACCCCTGCTACTCAACTCCTGCCCCACATGGAACAGTTTTCTACAATCAGCTCCGGCCTGTGTCCTCTGACAGACGATAATAATAGCAACACCCATTCACATGGTGTACTTTCTAGGTACAGGGACTGCCTTCACCTGTTTATCTTCCCAACAACCCTCCTGACTTTGAAGCTACTATTATGATTCCCCAATTTAGGAAGAAGAAAACGGAAGCCCAGAGAGGCTGCCATGCCTCACACAAGGTGACCCCTTCTGTGAGAGGAGCCTCCTAGAGCCTGTGTTCATGTCCACAGCTACCAGCACCTTCCAGGGAGGGCATCTCATTTAGTGAGCCTTGACACTCCTCTCGCCTGGCGCACACAAACGATTCTTGTCTGGAAGGTGAACTGGGGCATTCAGGTGACATGAGTACCAAGGAGCTGGGTCACAGAAGGACTCCGGCTAGGGGTGGTTTCCACATATAATACCAGGGCGGTACCCAGCGTCTCTCTTCTACTCTATCACTCGTCAGTGGTGTCACCTTGGAAGTGACTTCCCCTCTCCAAGCCTTGGTTTCTACATTAGTAAAATGGAGCCATGACCTCCTACCTCCTGGGATTGCTGTGTGGACAAGAGGTAACCAGCTTAGCCTGGACCCCACAGATGTTGCTAGTATTCTCAGCAATACGAGCAACGGGGACCACCCAGTAGCAGAGACACTAGCTTGTGTCCTCTCTTTCACCAGCTGAGGAGGGCCAAGTGGTGAGCAGGTAAAGCAACAGGAAGGTTCCTCACCTGAGCTGTTCTTTGAACATCTTCCTGGACTTGGGTTTCTTCCCAGGTTTGGTAGAGAAAGGCATGACCCCGAGTCCAAAGCTTTGTCCATCAGTCTCACCCACGAGGTGGCCGTCAACGTCCATAAGCCCTGCCTGGATAGAGGCCAGCCACAGGGCCGAGGGTTAGATTAAGGGTTTTGGCCTGTGGGGGACCCAAGTAACTCTTATGCTCAGGTGGGTATATTCACCCCACATGCCAAGATGGCAGGCCCAGGTTGCCAGCTTGAGGCTGTCTCCAACAGCACGGTCTCTGACCACCAATGTCCACATTCCACATCAACTTCACTCAATGGTCTGGTGTCTCAGGCCAACCCTTGCGGATCTTAAGGCCTGTTTCCAACCTAATTCCAGGAATTGGTCTTGTTTATGGTCATGTTTACGGTCATGACTCCAATCCTGGAGACCAGTCTGAATTCATATCCGGTTTACTCTTGCATGGGTCATGCTCATCCTGGTGTTCCCTTTATCTGTTGCAACCCCAGATCTGCTTGAATGTAGAACCCCTGCTGCTTCTGGAAAGGTCTGGAGATGGAAAAAATCTGACATGAACGCTGTCAACAGGAAGAAACCGTGCATACCTTCTGGACTGCGGAGATGGCAGCAAAGTCATTCTTGTCTATAAGGGTATACTTCCTGCGCAAAGTGGACTCCACTTCCTGCTCCTGTTGGCTTGAGAGAGAGGAGAGAACACCTTGCACCTTGGAGCTAGACTGAACCTTCCAGATTGAGAACCAAGTATGAGAACTAGAAGTCATTCGAGTGTGGCCCCTTGTGATGGAGCCACACTCTCATCATGAACCAGACAAAACAAGCCCATTCCACACCCCGATTCTTCAGAGCACATACCACTTGTTCACCCCTCAAATTGGCAGTGGCCACCCTTGTATGTCAGGGACTTCTGCTCCAAGAAAACTTTAACAAGGACTGTAAGCCTGCCTCAGGACCATGGTTTCCCACCTAGGTTCTATCTTTAAAAGGCCCCAGGAAATCATGTCACCCATGCCTGTGCTACCACCCAGCACAAGCTGCTCACTGTACAGGTATGTCTGCCCCAATACATCACAAATGCCTCCTGAGATGGGGGTGGGGCACAGGGTGTATTCACGATGCCCTGCTCTGGCCACACTCAGGGCTGGCACTCCAGAAGGACCTCCCATCTAATTCATGAACTCATGAACTCATGAACTTCTTCTCTGAGTTGTCCTTGAACAGACAGCTCTCCTCCCGGCTTCCCCCAGGGGAAGGGGAGGGTTGGAGGTTCTGAGAGCTCAGGGGCCTGGGCACACCCCAAGGACTCTGAGCTGGCTTCTCATCCATGAGAAACAAGGTCGTGTGCTGAGAGCTGCACCCTGGCCACAGGAAATGAAAACGGCAGTCTGATGTAGGAGTCTGATGGGCAGGTGAGGGTCCCTTACCTCAGCACCACCCGGAACTGGTTGAACACCTCCTGGATCTGTCTGAGGTTGATGATCTGGAGGCAAGACAGCAAGGCAGAGGTTGGGCCTCAGGCCGCACAGGGTTGAGGGTGTGTCTACACTCAGAAGAGAAACCAGAACTCCTTGGCTAACCCTTTAATCATGTATGGCTTGAGAATGGAACATCAGGAACCTCCTCAAGAACAGAGAAACAGGGGTGCCTGGATGGCTCAGCTGTTGGTGATCTGCCTTTAGCTCAGGTCATGATTTCCAGGTCCTGGGATCAAGTCCCTGCGTCGGGCTCCCAGCTCAGTGGGGAGTCTGCGTCTCCCTCTTCCTCTGCCTCTCCCCTGCTTGTGCATACTCTCTCTCTCTCAAATGAATGAATAAAATCTTTAAAAAAAATGAGCAGAGAAACACAACTGATTCATAGTTTTCAAACTAAGTAAATACTGAGGCTATAAAAATGAACTTCCGTGGAGTGCCTGGGTGGTGTAGACAGTTAAGCAGCTGATTCTTGATTTCTGCTCAGGTTGTGATCTCAGGGTCATGAGTTGTAGCCCTGCACTGGGCTTCATGCTCAGCAGGGAGTCTGCTTGAGATTCTCTCTCTCTCTCCTCTGCCCCTTCCCCTGCCATGCTTGCGTGCTCATATCTCTCAGATAAATGAGTCTTTAAAAATTACCTTTTCTAAGTGAAGGTCTCTATAAAATTGACTCTAGTTCTTGAAAATACTAAGAAAAAATTTTTAATAAAATTTACTGTCTTCAGCTCCCTCCTGTTTCTACAAGGTTCTATCATGAACTTTCTGTGTAGCACATACACATCTGTGGCTCGAGGAAGGCCACTGGCTTCCCTCTTGGCCCTACAGACCACAAGTATTACCCTTGACAGAGGGTCATTCTGGGACTAACCCTGCTCCAAGGCCAGAAGAGCCCACCCCTCAGTTGTCCCAGGCCTGTCAGTTAGAGCTGCCACATTAAGAAGACCAGGGTGGTGGGGACGGGGCGGGGGCTGCCATGTAGCTCCCCGGTGAGGGGTTTCCTGGCCTGCACTGTCAAAATAGAATGCATCCTTCCTTCCCCCTGAGGACCCTTCCCTGTGTGGCTGCTGTCTCTTCCTCCTTAGCTTACTCCAACACAGGCCCTGCATGTCTGCCCTGTCAGCCCACATGACGGACACCCTTGAATGGCCTCACTCCACCCGGCACAGCTGAGCTCCTGAGTTAATTCCACTTTGATTTCCCTTTCACTCTACAGGTGTGGCCACCCAAGTACACAAGGCCGAGCATTTTGCTGAAGTCACACAGCAAGGAGACATCGGAGCTGGGATGTGATCTAGGGCAGCCTGGCTCCAGGGACCGCCCTGTGCCCACGGTGATGGACCACCCCCTGTGGGTCAAGGCTATTCAAGGATGCTGGCCACTCTGAGGGGCACACCCATCCTTATAACCCTAAACATGGATGCTGAGGCCTTAGTAGGCTGTAGGGCCCAAGTCCAGGGGTCCAGCACCACCCACCCCATACCCACTGCACCCATTCGGTGTGAGGTTCCAAGGCCAGCCCAGCACAAGTCGGGGGATGCCCAGGATAGGGAGGGCATGGTCCCGAGGAGAGGATCCTTACGTCAATCTCATCCAGCGTCCCCTCCAGGTACCTCCGCACCTGGGAGTTGATCTCAGCAATCTGGATTTCATCCATGGGATCGTAGTTCACAAGGGTGCGGTTGGCCTTGAAGGAGGATGAAGAACATGTCAACAAGCTCCAAACACCTGAGCCCAACAGGGGCAGCAGGGGTCGTTCTGACAACCAAGGTGGGGAGGTTGGACACAGGCCCTGGCCAACTAAGCCAGCTCCATTGCCTTGACCACTGGGTTCTGGCTAGGTGCTGGGGTCACAGAGGGACAACTAGGTCTTGAGAGCTGCCTGACATGGGCTTGCCACTCCAAGCAAGGGGGCTGAGACTCAGCAGACTCTGTCCCCTGAGGGCTATGGGGGGGGGGGTGCCTCTGCTTTGAGACCCTCCCTGGACCATGAGTAGGCCCAGGCAAGCCATCAGAGGTCTCCAGTTCCCACCCTCTGCCCTCAGGGCACTCTGCTACTGCCCCTCCCCCACTGCCCAATCTGTTCCACCTCCCTGACCTTGACCCCCATGCTGTCCGCCCCTGCCCTACCTGCCTGCCACCTGCCCCTCATTTTCCTGTCAACTGTCTGCCTCTGCTCCCTGGTATCTGACATCCATGCCCACATCCTCCTGGTCTTCTAGTATCCCTAGCTTCCAAGCATCCCTGTTCCCCAGCCCCCTTCCCCACGTCTCCCTACCTACTTGGCTTGCCTACCCATCTGGCCCCTGTCCACCCAGTCCCTCTGCCCACCTGGTATCCTGACCTCACCCCCTCTAGCAGTCCAGCCAACCCCTCACCCCAAACCCCTGCCGCTAGCCCCTTACCAGGCTGTCATGGATGGCCAGCTCCTGCTTGAGCAGCGCCAGCTCCTTCTCCAGGTTCTTCACCATTCGCTGCCAGGAAACATAGTTGGGGGTGGGGCAGGGAGGACGGGTAGAGAGATCACCCTCCTCTCCCACAACAAGCCCACAATTCCCCAATCTATGCCTGGATATCCAGACCCCTCCTGGAAACCCATGGGGTGTGATGTCAGCATCTGGACAGCTCCCTCCCAGTCAGTGACTTTTCCCCAACTGGGGTGAGTTTAGGGTCTCTGGGGGCCTCAGCAGTCCCCTGACCTCTGCCTCTTAGAGCAGAGGAGACAGAACACAGTGAGCACAGGCACCCACAGGGCAACCGCATACCCCAACTCCCAGGAGCTTCAGATTTCTGGTCTACCAGGGTGGTGTCCCTCTCAGTGCAGCCCACTGCCTCCAGATGCTCTCCAAGCACAGTCATACCTTTAACCCTCATCCTTCCTGACCATTGCACAGACATATCGCCGTTCCCTGCTGATAATCAGGTACGTCACCTCTAATATTTTTGCTGCTTCAAACAACACTGCACAACATTTTTGTCCTTAGATCTTTGGGTCTTTCTAGGTTTCTGTTGGGTAACGTCGGCCCTTTGTGATCTGCCCCCATTACTTCTTCCCTGCTGTTCCCCCCAAGCTCATTCCAGCCCTACCAAATTATTTGGCACACTCCTGCCTCTGCCCTACCTGTCCCCTCTGCCCGGGACACTCTTCCCCCAAGTACTGCCCTGGCTCACCCCCACACCTCCTTCAAGTCTTTGTTCAAGAGCTTCTAAATTAAGCACATTTCAATCACCCCGCGGAAAACTGCCATGCCCTCCCCACGCCCACACCACTCTTTTTTGCAAATCTTGCTCTAATTTTTTTCATAGCACCTATCACCAACATACCCCAGAGCAATGCCGTTTCACAGAACTTTCTGTTATGATGGAGATGGTCTTTATCTGTGCCATGAGCTACATGTAGCTATGGAACACTTGAAATGTCACTAGTGTGACCCAGAAAGTGAACTTTTATTTTAACTAATTTAAATAGCCCCAAGCAAGCAGAGCTAATGTACTGAGCAGTGGAACTCTAGAACTTATCTATTTCTTTCTTTTTTTCCCCCCTAACATTAAAAAAATTGTTCAAGAGAAATTGTAGGCAGGCATACCTCATTTCATTGCACTTTGCTTTATTGAACTTCCCAGAAACTGCACTTTTTACAGATTGAAGGTTTGTAGCAACCCTGTGTCAGGCAACTCTGTTTCGTACCATTTTTCCAATAGCATTTGCTCACCTCATGTCTCTGCATCACATTTTGGTGATTTTCACAATATTTCAAACCTTTTCATCATCCTTGTATTTATTATGTGACCTGTGATCAGTGATTACAACTTGCTGAAAGCTCAGATGATGGTTAGCATTTATTAGTAAAAAAATATTTTTTAACAGTTATTTACTTATTATTATTTTGCGTAGGCTCCCCAACCAGCATGGAGCCCAACATGGGGCTTGAACTCACAACCCTGAGGTCAAGGCTGGAGCTGAGATCAAGAGTTGGATGCTGGGTGCCTGGGTGGCTCGGTGGTTAAGGCCTCTGCCTTCAGCTCAGGTCATGATCCCAGGTTCCTGGGATCAAGCCCTGCATTGGTCTCT